GAAACTACTTCAAGTTGGCTACCTCCTGAAAACAAAAGCACTTCATTAGTGGAACATTTTTGGTTCTACAACAATCTTGCTTTACACTGGATTGCAAAAAAAGTTACCATTTCTGTTTTCTGTCTGAGTCTGAGTCTTGGCTTCTTGAACAGAAAGATTGTGATTCCATAGTTGTCTCCCCTCTTGTTCATCAGAGGAAATGCCAAGGTCATGTTTTCCAACTGATTGCAAATTCTCAGAGACAGAATGTCCTGATCCAGTCTCAGTATGGGCTTCTTGAGCAGACAAATCATGATTGGATAATAGTCTAAGCTCTTGTTCGTCAGATTGGTCTTGTTTTTCATATGATTGCATAATGTCAGAGAGAGTATGCCCGGATCCTGTCTCAGTATGGGCTTCTTGAACAGAAAATTCATGATTGGATAATAGTCTAAGCTCTTGTTCGTCAGATGAAATGACAGGGTCTTGCTTTTCATGTGATTGCATATTATCAGAGAGAGCACTGCCGGATCCTGACCCAGTATGAGCTTCTTGAACAGAAAATTCATGATTGGATGATTGTCTATGCTCTTGTTCATCAGATGAAATCACGGAGTCTTGTTTTTCATGTGATTGAGAATTCTCTAAGTCACGAAATATGGTTCCTGTTTCAGTATTGGCTTCTTGAACAGACTGTGTGGTTGAAAATCCTTCCTCAAGAGTTCCCATTTCTCCAGGATCATTTGCTTCAGAAGTTGAAGTTTCATTTGGTCCTGATGCACGAAAATTTATTTCTTAATGATACAAGAAAGAGCATGTTTGGTGTTACATATTTCTTACTTCAAAACACAGCCAAACATTAAAACAAGGATAAAAAAATCTCAAAAACAGAGTCCTCACCATTCTCTTGATGCATGGTATTCTGATACAAAGGCTTCTTCAGCCATACGGATCCTGGAAACACCATGAGGTTAATTTTGCTCAAACTTTGTCTCTCGTCGTCTTCCAGGGGTTCGAAGCCAAAACCCTTTGTCCATGTCTCCACTACACTGGGAATGGCAGATACAACGAGCTTCTCGACCCTCAAAGACTTCAACATCTAAAGCGACAATTGAACTGAAATTACTAATATGCATACCAGAAGCAGTAGACCCCGAAACACAATAAAACTCACTCAGAAAGAACATATGCACAAACGTTAAACGCGTAAAGATAGCAAAATTTAAGAAAACAGATTCCAAGGGATGGAGATAATCATGAAACTTACTTCACCACAACCAAGAAACACTCCAAATTACAGAGATCGATATACGAGTATCTAAGAAAACCAGTATATAATAAAAAAAACTCAACCGAAAAAATCTCCCTAATCACACGGAGAGTGCCCCAGAAGAAAATCAACTTCTTGCTATCATACTTTGCTATCTGCTTTCAACTAGGCAACCCCAAGTTTCCTTTTCTGAATTCCAGGAACATTTGCAATTTGCTTCGTTCCAGTTCAGTCAAGCTTTTAGTTTTTATTTTATTCCCAGGACAGTTGTTAAAAAAATATAGATCATCAACCACTTAATATGGTGCAGACTATGCACCCCAAATTCTGTTTAGACACAAGCATGCACACGACATAAAAATTAGTAAACAATCATAGTGGAGAATGAATACTTCTCACACGTGTTGCATGACGAATGCTGATGGTCCAAATAGATAAATTACCTCTTCTATAGAATTAATAAGGAGCCGACACAGTCCCCGCCGACGATAATTGCTGCAAGTAGCAACTAAAGGCAGCTCTGCTACAGTAACCCCATGGATTCTGCATCAAGGTCATATGTCACATTACAAAAAATACTGCCAAGTTAAATGTAACAAACAACAGAATAACTATCGATTTAAAAAAATATTGAAGAATTGCTTAGGATTGGATAAAAGAACAAATAATAATTGGAAAAGCAATAATGGATAAAATGTCTAATAAAAATAAATAAGACATCTATAGTGTTCACCTAAGTGAATAAATAAAATTAAACTGCTATATGGTTTCAAAAGGAACCAAGATGTGTCAGTTTGATGAAGGGGCTTCACAATCAAATATATCACAAGGACTGCTCATCTTGAATCTTCAGTAATATTTCTCCCATGAAACCCCACATGTATGTATGAAATTTTACACCGGTTGAAAATAGATCTATAGAACATATTTGGCGCATTAATTAGCCATGATGGTAGCCTTCATGTCTGGTGTCAACCTTGGCAGCTAACACAGCATACAAGAATGTAGAAGTGCTTCCTAATTTCCACGCAAGAAAATAGGTTTCAAGTCGACGATGAAAAAGAAATGCATAAGAATAAAGTTAACTTTGGCCAATGTGCGCTTTACACTTTTGTGACTGAAAAAAGTTGGAACGTATCTTCAGCACCCACTAGGACAGAGCAGCAAGAAGCAAGTGATATTAGATGAAAGAATGAAAGAGTCTTCCAGATAAACTTTGAGATGAGATGATACCACGCCTAAAGGTACTACAAGACAGTATATTGTATAAGCAAAAACAAATCACACATCATTATTTACCTGATGGATGCTACAGACAACATGATGTCATTTTTCTCCAAAACCACAGCATAGAACCCACTATAGTCCAGACGTGCTAATTCTGATCTGAAAGAAACACAGGGTCATTGTTTTCAGTTCAAAACTTAGTTACAATTGGATGTTAACATAAATAGTGAAGAAAAATGAAGTGAACTCAAAATAGCTACACATAGTTGAGGGAAAAAAGTCTGAAGTACGTCCGAAGGAAGGAAAGAGTACAATACAATCTCAAACTGTGCTTAATTTAGTTCAAGTATACAGGTTTACTAGCATCTATTACAAGCAATAAGCACATCCTAAAGCTCTGCAAACATATACATGCACATCATGTAACACGTCAGAATATAGATTATTGGCAATGGTCAGACTATTAAATTGTGAGAACAACAATTGCCAGTGTTATGGTAAAACTAGCAATAGTGGTTAACTTGTACAATATAAGGTTGTAAAGCCCAGCTGCTGGTTTTGCAGAAGGCAAATTTATCAAAACAAAGAAAACAAGAACGAACAAAAGTATTCAATGACAACCGCAAAATAGGCTCCACAACACCCCCACCGGCGAAACCAGGTAATTGCTTTCATTTTCAGACACATCAATAACGCCAATAAATAACTTCTTACAAATGCCTACAACACTCCACCATCTTCATGAAAATGCTCATTTTTTGCTATTTAGAGTGTTGAAATCAAGATTCGGATGAAGACATGTGATCCCTCTCTTACTACCTAAACTTTTAGATGAAATGTTTAACATAAATATAAGGTGTTATAGAACAATTTGGCAGTCTTACACCAACTCAGAATATTTAGCTTGATGAAAACCCATTGATAGGGGTATCCAGTTTAAAAGATGCAATAAAGATCATCAAAGAGATGGAGTTTACTTCACATAGTTCAGATTTAGCCATCCTACGTAAAGGAATCAGTTTAACAAGAAATAAAACCAACAAAAGTTCAGCAGAGGACATGAACTAAATTCTGAAGAACATAAAATAATATCTGAAGGGGAAACAGAGGCCAGAGCTTGAACTTGCAGTTCTTTCTAGATACAGCCATGCTTTACAGAGGAATTAACAATTGGACAAACGGATGAAAGTCGGCTGTAAGAGTTGATTTTCAGAAACATCGAAATAGTTCCATGCGATTGCTCACTTATTGAATCTATACCCATATTTATGAACAACATAGGTGCCACAAGTGCTAGAAGAAAAAAGCAAGGTATGTATAGTTGTAGAAAACAAGAGGATGTTCTATAAAAGTAGTACCCCCAGTTGTACATGACTTGAGGTATCATGTTTATGCCTGTTTTTGGGTCCACCATCGGAAGAAAGCATTCCTCCAAAATCGTGATTGCAACAGCAAGCTTTGAGTTGCATTCTGCCTTCAAAGCAACAAAGCACTCATCAGAATGAACTTTCTGCTCGCCATTAATACACTGAAGAAGCGTCCAAGAGTAGCCATCAGAAAGATGATTTATCAACCCAATGCGAGATCGAAGACCTGAGTATACCTGTGCAGGGAATTAAAACAAAACAGAATCAGAATATTACAGATGCTGAAATAATACTTCAATAAATGAAACTTCCAAACAAGCAGCAGTGATAGAAATAAAAAAACAATCACATGCTTTAACTTCTTCATAAAAATGTAATCTTTTCAATTATAATAATAACGCATCCTCATTTCAAAAACAAATTCTAAAAAGAAGAACAAGTTCAATTTTATTGCTTTTCTGACAAAAAGGGAGAAAATTGATGTCAAAGGGTTAATTACCTAGAATGTATTAGCCTTCGCATGGATACAACTTATAAATTGGTCTATAAATTTAATCAAAGTCAAAACATTAATTACAACCATACATTTTTAACTACTATTCGTTATTATCCACACATTTCATTGGGACCTGCTACCATTCCTCTTACTATTTCTATTTATATATCATTTACATATTTTCCAAACAGTGGCTTAATACGGTGTCATATATTACACCTTGCAAAACCTGCTTCTTTTCCCTGAAACAATATCATTGCCTGCCTTCAACAACAACAGAGATTTAGACTGATCCGTTTCTGAATGCTATACTCCCATTGGGACAACATGAGAAAATCATTACATTTTATCATGAATACATATCCACTCAGACAATATGTTTTTTGATCCTCAAGGTGAGTTTATGTAAGCAAAAAAAATTCTAGGAAACTAATCTCTCTAAGAAGTTTTTGCAAGATTTTTATGCATGGACTTGATCCTAGCGGCAACCTCTTCAATTCAGTCCACAAATATAACTAGTAATCTATTTAGTGCTAGCAGGGTCTAGCAATAGTGGCTTATTACCAACTCTTACACATGAATGGGTACTTTGCTGATCTGATATGTAAAACACAGAATCACAGTGTTTTCAACCATCCAGAAGAAAACTCAACAGTGTACGTAGGTGTAGAGAACTAAAACTCATTGAGAAAAGAATAAGGGGTCGTTCTCTTTGTATTTCAGTTTTGTGTTTTGAGTTTTGAATTCATTTTGTGTTTTGTATTTTGAGTGTCCATTTTGAAATTGTTGAAAATGTGTTCTTTTTGTCATTTTGAAAAATTATTTTCAAAAATCCAAAAATCAAAAACGTGTTCTCTTTCAACTCATTTTCTTCCATCTCTCTTCCTCCCACTAAATTGTTGAAAATGTGTTCTTTTGCCATTTTGGAAAATTATTTTGAAAAACTCAAAATTGAAAACGTGTTCTCATCCGGCCCATTTTCTTCCCTTCTCTCTCTCTCTCTCTCTCTCTCCCCGTCCCTATCTCTTCCTCCCGTCTGTCTCTCTTCCTCCCGTCTCTCTCTCTCCTATTCCGACCACAAGCTTGGCCTTTTTCACAATAAATGAACTGACCGGTGTAGATTCCTTCGGCCGCGACATGTGTGGAGGTGAGGGGAAGGGGACGACTGGGAAATGGAGGTGAGGGGAAGGTGGCGGTGGATTCGAAAATTGGAGCATTTTCTGAATTAATTGGTGCAACTGACATGTAACCCATCGTCCTATGTGCCTACTGCAGACTCGATTGGGGCCAATTTGATGATTCAATGTTTTGGGGATGAGGAATTGAAGCACGACCTTGGGTGTTGATTCCGGAAGAAGCAGTTTGTGCCGAATCTGTTTTTGAGGATATTTTTGATCGATTTTGGTACATGATTGGATTGTTGTTTGTGTGGTGATTGAAGAGGAGATTGAAGGCTTCACAATGGTATATAAATCCGGCCGTTTTGGAGGAAGTTGGCTGGAGTTTAGAGGGTTGGAAGGTGGCGGTGGAGATGGCTAGGCAGAAAGGAGGGAGGAGACGTTTTGGAGAAACATGCCTGTTTCCCGTGTTTTCCATTGGCTGCCCTGTTTGTGAAGAAAACACCCAAAACGGCTTTTTAGCCGTTTTGCGTTTTCTTCACATTTTTTTTTTCGTTTTCCAAAATTCGTTTTCGAAAATGACAAAGAGAACGCGTTTTCATTGTTTTGAAAATTCGAAAACAGAAAACGACTCAAAACGGCCAAAGAAAACGGCCCCTAAATTTCTAACAATTCAAAAAGAAATAACTAAAAGGCAAACATTTACCATACCAGTCGATGTCACCAAAATAACATGGCAACAAGAGATTGAGAGAGGATTCTTGAGATCAAATCACCAAATTCTATTCAGAACTTATATTTAAGCATGTCTGGGTATGATCCCGCTAAGTCGAACCACCGGCAATGTATTTAATACCAAATATTTTCATTCAATCTTAAGATGTATGCATTGCATATAATTCATGACTGACTGGATACTGTATCGAATTAGAAGTAAAGAAAAGAAAGCCATTCATTTCATATTAGAGGGAAGCCACCCTTCACTCACTATATGCAATATATTTTACATAACAAGTTTATTAGATATTAATCAACTGAACTGATTATAAAGGAAACCAATGATTTACCTCCTGACAGTATTCTCCACAGAACCAGTTATCTGAGGCCATTTCAATTTTCAAGCCCTTCCCTTGCATGCACGTCTCATGATCTGTTTGCAAGCATTAAAAATGATTTAGTAATCCTTGCTCCCTCCGCACAGACACAGAGTGCACTAAGCAAGAAGCACAGCACAAATAAGCATTATCAACTAAAACGTAAACAGGTAAAGAAAAAATTCGCTTATATCTCATAGATGTTGAAAGGTGGATTAAACCAAGCACTAGCCTATTTTTCATGCCCGTGTGTTGCACGAAATCTGAAAAAACAGTCCCTCAGAGTCAGGAAAATTACATTTGAACTCGCACTGCAAGCATTTAAAAGAGCTATGAGATTGTGAAGCATCTTTAGCATTGACCACAGCCCCACAAATCAAGCAACGACATTGCGGGCAATACCAGCTTCCCTCTGGCAGCTCCTGGAGAGAAGAGTAAAGCAGGTTGAGGTCTTTATACATGATTCTATATTTCTAAACTGATCTATCACAAGAAATAAAAATTAAAAAAAAAGAAGGCAGCAGAGGGAAGAAAAAAGTGGCGTGAAAACCAGTAAATTAGCCTAGCAATTCTACTTTGGGCCCACTATGTAGAACGTGTGTTCTTCTCCAACTAATTTCCCAGTCATAAAATGCATTTATACCAGGAATAGTGTGAATGTTCCATTAACTCAGTGCAAGATTGGAAAGTGACTAAATTATAATCTAAGTTGGTCAAACATAACTTTTTATCCACACATTTTGCAAGTAACTACTACCCACTTATTATCTACACATTTTTAGGACTCACAATTTTTAATTTAATCACTTCCCAAACATAAACTAAATTAAACAGGTTTTACAACTGTTTGGACTAATTGCTCGGTTTCAAATTTCAAAGAAAAGAGCAATTTTCATTCTGAACCAAAACAATTCCCAAATAAAAATGCTCAACAACCATCAGACTTATGAATAAAACACAAACTCTCAATTATCAAGGATTTTTTAGTAAAATTTACACTTGGTGCTTGCTCAGTTTTGATAAACAGTATGAAGGCATAACTCCAAAATCCCTTCAAAAGTCTTTTCTTTAAAAGCACAACTCCAAAATCCCTTCAAAAGTCTTATCTTTAAAGTGCATTTTTAATTATATAGAAGAACTATTTTTGTGTAATGGGGACTATACCAAGGAAAGTTACACATACACATTCATTTTACGAAGAACAGCAATTCTTATGTCAATTGCAGTACAATGAAACTATAAGAATTTTATAAAAATGAACTACCATCAATACAAAAAGAAATTATTAAATGCTGTAAAGACCTTTAATTAAATTCCCACAAGCATTAGAAGTATTCAAGGGCGGAGGGTGACTCCCAAAGAGAGAAGCATCAAGAGGGAAGCAAGTGAACGAGATCCAGATTTTTGTCGACATCTTTAGTTTAAGATCCTTACGAAAACTATAATGCTTGTCTTATTGAACAGTTAAAAACTATCAAAGCAACGAATAAAGTTGAACACGTCGGAGTTGCACAATACAAGTCGACTGAATTTCTGACCCTTCATATCTGGTTTTTCTTCTTTCGTGGAGTAGGGAAGGGGGTGGAAGTGCTCAGTGTCGACTGTCGATGATGTTTAACTTATCTTTCCTTTTCTAAAGATATGATATTCAATCCCAGATAGATATATATTCAAGAACAGAATCAAAGTAAAAATGTTGGAAAGGATACCAAAAGTAAAGCATAGAGCATAGAGGAAATGCAAATGATTAAATTAAAGTTACAATATAGTGGATGACTGAAAATATTAATCAACAAAACATATGCAAGATACAAGACATTCAAACAAATGTGTGCACCATGTGAGTTCTCTTCAAGGCAATAAATGCAGTGTGCTTATTGGAACCCAAAGGTGATGTTGGTTCTTGACAAAGATAATGATGGTCGCAATGGGATGAAGGTGACAGGGTTGATTCAGGTAGTGCATAGCTGGAAGGTTTCAAGTCTTTTTCGTGGTGGAGGGTGTAAACTGATTTTTAACTTGATTTGAAGCCCACTCGTCTTGGGAATAAAATTATACGAATAGTGCCACCTACCTTAAAACCAAATGAAGTTAAATGGGGAGTAGTAAATTTTTAATACTCCAACAAAGTTGGTTAATCAAAATTATGTTACTAACTACAAGCAATAATTAACTCATACAGCATTAATTATTAGATCAACTTGTATGCTAAAATGCTGTAATTACTGAGCAGAACAGCATGCTTCAATGGTTTAAGCTACTTGCAAAAGGTTGGCTGGTCCAATCACAGACTGAGGTGTCAAATTCTAGATTTACATACTTGGCACCTATCTAGCTACTTTTAGTTAAGCATTTATAGCACTAATTTCTAAGTATGAGAATAACCTTTGAACATCTATCTTTAACACTTGTAAATGAAAATATTACAGAAAACAGGGTAAAACAGAAATAAATTAAAAAGAAACATTTGGAAGCCAGTTCACTTCCGGTGTTCTGTTGTTTTGGTAGGAAGAGAAATAAAGAGGAATAAGAAATTTAGGTAGAACACCTCATTTTTCTAAGAAGATACTTTTCTGAGAGAAGTAATACTTCCTTTATTTATCTTATACATACTAAGAAGGGCTGACAAGTGCTCTATCTCTTGCTATCCACTTCTTTATTATCTCTCACACAACAAGAGAAAGAAATGTTGCCTTCCTCCTTTCTCATTTCCTGTACTTACTCTCCGTTATTCAGGTCTTTCAACTAGTTTTTCTTCCACTCCAAGCCCAACCTTAAGTTATTTTCAGCATATGCAGTGCAGATAATTATGGTAAACACAAGCAAGCATAAAATTGTGAGTCAATAACTCACTAAACAATCTAGTTGCTAAACAATTATTACATTGTTAAACCAAAATGGCCAAAGACAATCAAACCCAAAAAAGGAACTTCAAATGCATACTTACCATTAATGACCTGTGCTAAATTTATTTCAAGAATACTCATTTGCAAGCAGGCAAAGCAGAACATGTGTACACGTTCTTATTTCATGTAGAGTTACATAAACATAGTTTTACTAAAACAAAATAGAAAATCCGTGATTTCAAAATGCCTGTGTTTTAGAATATAAAGAAGAATCATCCAATTGTCTTAAAAAAAAAAAGGATCAACATATCGGTTTCCAGTTGGCAATAGACACATCAATCGCCTAGTCCAAAGATCAAGCCTCTTTCAAGAAAAATGAGTAGGAAGAAGACCACTTCTAAACTCTCCAACTCAATGTGTTCATGCAAAAACCTGCATGGAGAAGAGCAGGTTCCACTAGATTTATGTCCTCATCCAGTTAAACATTCCTGCCTTCTTTCACTTGCCAGTTCACCTGTTAACTCATTATGCCCAGGCAGTCAATGAAATTAGATACAAGTTGCAAGGTGGTAAATCAAGAAGTAAATGGAAGTACGGGGAAGATTGCAACCCAATTAAAGATGATGGAAAACTAGTGCCGAGCAGGAAACAGTAAAAGATTATTGGCCAGGCTGAACTGGATAATGATTTGAATTTCAGCTGGGCTCATGTTGACTACAAACCTCTCCATGCATGTCTATACATGGATACTGATAAAATTTGGCAACTAGAGTTAAGAACTAGCAATGACCCCATCTATCAAGAAGTTGTTCGTAGCTACAGATGCACGTTAACGGAAATGTGATCATGGAAACAAATGTTAGCACTAATTCCAGTCATTAATAACAAAAAAGAAAAATATTACGAAAATACTCAAAATCTTAATGTAAGGAGAAAAAGTCCATGAAAACCGCTGGATACAAAAAACAAAGACAAACCTGTTCAAACAAGCATGCCTGATGAAACGCGGATGGACAGCTATCACAGCATATCAGTTCACCAACATCACCACAGCGCCCACAACTATCATCATTTTGATCTGTCTCATCAACTTGGCCAGTTTGAGGAGCTACTTTTCTGGCCCTGTATTCAGCTGACCAGGCCTCGAGCTGGCGCGAGGTTAATGGCTTACCAGACTCAATGAAAAGATTGATGCAATGATGCTTCAACCCAAAATCAGCATGATTCTTAAAAGCAGAGATGGAAAGCACCTTATTACAACACTTGCATAATATACCTCCCCTAGTAATTAAACCATCTTTCACCACCACATCCGTTTTCAGATTCCGTAACTGGACCACTTCATTTAGTGAGACAACACCAGAATGAATTAACCAGGATAACACAGTTCTCAATTCAGAAGCAGGCCACTTCCCTTCCATCAAATGCTTTGCACCCTTGTTAAGGCTCCTTACAAGCAATCTACAACTGCCTTTTCGTCTCTTGGGCTTCCTTAGAGGCTTGGATTTGCAGCTGGCCCGCTTCTTGGAAGATCTAACAGTTTTGTTTTTTATAATAGCTGAAATCAAGAGATCGTTATCATTAAGATGTGATGTCTTTGATTTCTTTGATCCAATTCTGCAACGATTTGTTTCCTCTACCGAATACTCTTGAGCATTTGAATGACATTGATACAGACTAGTGACTTTCATTTCAGATATCTTTCTGGATTTTTTATGAACCCTCCTATCATATCCAGAACAGCCTTCTTCCTCAGGTCTGTCTTTGTTTAAGCTTTGGGAACCTGTATTGCTATCTTGATGAGTCTCGGGTCCTCCAAGCAAAGGACATGTGTTTCCTGAGATGATGGGAACTTCAAACAGAATATCAGTCTGGTCGTTTCCCAAGATTTTTCGGTATTTGGCAACATGCCCACCATCTCTTTCATATGCCAAACTTCTCTTTGCTTCAACTGCAATTCCCTTTTTCAATGAGCGAATTGTTTTGTCAATGAACACTACCTTCGCGAAGGGATCCAGAAGAGACCATAAATGAGCCATAGCCAAAGTAGTTTCTAAACTATTGTGTTTCTCTTCAATCTCTTTAAATGTGTTAGATAAATCTGTCCATAACTCAGTCATATCATTCCACTGGTTAGAATCATTTCTCTGCACAAAATCAAAGGCATCAGTCAACAAACTCTCACCACACATGGACCAAGCTCTATGAAATTCACGAAACGGTCTTCCTCCTGGTGACTTGTAAACATATTCTCCAATCCCATTGTATTTACTTTTCCTCTTGCGCCTCCCAATCACCCATCCTGCTGCTCTAAGTAAGCGATTAATGTGATAGCGAAGAAGAGGACGAGGGTCATTTTTTATGTCCCTTGGCATTGATAATTCTTCATCATCCAGTTTCAGAAAGCAGGAGTCCTTCCATCTAGGCTTGGCAGGTCGATGACTTCCCAACTTGTTTTTAACAGAAATAGCTGGATCCATCACTAGAAGCTTACTTGCATAGCTCTCTTGAGAAGCAGGCGAAGTAATTGCTATACTTACAACATCCTTCTGGTCATGTCCATCTGAAGATAATCTATTCTTAGAGCCACCCATTCCACTAATTTCATAACCTTGGCCCAGATCAACATGTCCCTTCGGTTGATAGTGACGATAAATAACCCCCTCACCAGATGATTCAAGTAAACAATGTTTTATCATGCGACAAGCAGTGTAAGAATCTTGTTGGTACATACCCATAACTCCTTCGCAGACAGATATATTCAAGATATCCCCTAGATCAAGTTTCCAATTTGGATGATTTTCAACAGCTAACTTTGCTTCATGATTACTTTTGTTTGGTGATGTTAAATCTTCTGAGAGACATTCTAGCGGAGTTTTCCCCCTCGAATCCTCTTTTGCATCAAAGTAATCATCCTGACTCGTTAACGATGAGTTTCCACTATTGGAACAGAGGGATATGTCTGTTTGCTTATTATAGTCACAACCAGTAACAACACATCCTTTACCACTGCTAACAACGCATCCTTTACCACTGCCACTGTCATTTCCAAAGAACACCTTCGCAAAAATTCTATACTCATCAGCTGACCCCACAAAACCATCATCATGCAGATCCTCAAAATCATTGCTGAATAACATTTTTGCTGACCCTGCCATTATAGTGTCTCCCATATTCTTCCAATGGAAACGAAATCTACAAGTGATACACAACTTTACCATGCAATGACAACAGCCAAAACCAGTAAATAACATGGATGTGTGATGCAAACCAGAAAAGGAAATGATCTAGAACCCTTTTCCATCAGTGGAAATACCTAAACCTTTCTACTGTTTGCTTATTTACCAAGAAATCGCAGTCTAATTAGGCTGCAGAACGTACATCGATTGCCACCATTAGAAGGGAACACACAGCTTTTGAAAATGTAATGATTTTTTGCCATTCATTATACTCTTCATTTTACACTTAGGAAAGTATAAATATGACACTGATCTTAGGAAGGTGCATCTAAAATTTACAAATGTAAATGCGCCTGAATCCATAAATGTAAAATCACTAATTGAATATCAAATAATTAAGGATTAAATCTAAGAAATTATACCTAAAAATAAAGAAAAACGAACACAGAGCTACACTAAACTCCATTTCTCAAAATAGCAAATTCCAAAAAAACTCAGAAAATCCCAGCTCAGAATTTCCCATTCCCATATGAACCAAAAACAAAATCAAATCTTTACGTCAAATTTCCCAGCTCCCGCCAGATTCAATGACTTGCAACAAAAGCAGAAATATAAAAAATAAAAATAAACAAAAATCACCTCGCATTTGCATCCAAACTGCAGAAAGATTAGGGTTCCCCCGATTCTCAAATTCTGAGGGTCTTCAATTGTAACGCTTAGATGTAAGGACAGTTTGGGGGCAGCTCAAAAGGAAGAAACGGTGGGATTGTATCAAACTTCTCAAAGACCCAAAAACTCACAAGTAAATGGCTTTGTCATGACCGAATAGGGCTCGAAACAGGGAACAGGTGTCAAGCATGAACCCAATCTGCCATAGTTCTTCTCCATGTGCACGCTATGACATTTGTATCCCATGTCACCTCTGCACCCAGCCACCCACTATTGTAACCTCCTTTGTCTCTTTCTTACATTTTTCTTCAATAGTTTTTGATCTAATCCAATCCGCCTCCATTATGGGTTTCTGTACCCATTTTTCCTTTTTTACGAATAAAAGCCTTTTATAAAAGGAGTAGCTGAAATGGTGGTTATGGTTTCTTAGATTATTGGGTTCGGTTTTAGATTTGATTGACTCCACAGTGAAAACAATTAATCCGCCATGGAATTAATCAAAATCACTGTGGCAATTTCTATGATTTCTTTTTCAATGGTTCGCAAAAAATATTAATGTTCTAATCTTAAGAATTTATCACTTTTTCAAATTTTATGAAGGGGGGCATTCTTGATTTAATATGAAAGTAGAAAAGTTACAATAAAAATTCTCCTTTTTCTCCATCTTTATCAAAAACTCTTATGAAATTTTACTGCACATGCTGAGTAATGTTATTCATCTTTCCTTGACATTTTTTACTTTATATTGGTCACATTGTCACATTGTCATAATGCAATATACATATTGAATAATACTAACCACGTCACTAAGTAGTGGAGTTACCGTTACATTATCCAATAGAGTATTAGATAATTTGGCAATGACTTCACTACCACTTATGCTGGTGTTGAACACTTTTGTGTTAAATAGCATTACTCATAGATATTTTGTTGTAGCATAAATTTCGTGCAACGTGTGTGACATAAGTTATGTAGAATCAATTTAATGAAATTAATTCCAATGACATTCAAATTTAATAGAAATTCTACGTTGATATGCAATTTGAAATCAAAATTTATTATACAAGTCTATGTTGACAAAGAAGACAACTTTAATGTCGTGTTACTGATTTCGCATCCACAAGCTTCGATATTTTGCATTGAACAAGGTTGGGGGGAAATAAGTAAAAAGTAACATTCTTTCTATTTGAGGTTTATTATTATTGATTGGCTTTAATGCAAGTCCCGATCACACGAGAGTCAAGATTAATGTCTCACTACATGTCTTCTGAATTAGTTAAATTTATTCACGCATTCGGGTAACATAAAGTAGAGGTTTCATTTCTATTGTCAACGAAGTAAAATTATTGTTGACTAAATATTGCTACTATGTCTAATGTGTAACATTGGTGAAGGAATTAAGTGTATAATAGAAGAAAAATAATTTAAAACAATGTATGCTTACATCATACCTAATAGGTTCCATGTAAGTTTGTTACTTTGAAGTAGTTTCCCTAATTATGTTGCTTGTTCTCTATTTATAGTGCATTCATCGATCGCTATAGATAACGAATTCGTGCTTCATATATATTATTCTCATAGTAACTAATGCATCTATTATGTGTCAAAGCAACACGAGAAGACAACTTTTAATTGAAAATCAAATTTAATAACATATGTAGATGTATCTAAGAGAACTTAACGTATAATCATACAAATATGAGTGATAATAAATTATTCGCGATGCTTAATAGAGTGATACGCATTGTTGACACACGTGAAATTCGGACTACGGTATTTTTTTATTTTTTTTGCTATCCCGAAAAGTCGGTTCTATTTTATAGAAGACGGAAGCATCTGAAATAAATTTCAGCTTTAACCAATTCGACAAAAAATAATCAATTAATTGAAAGTTCTTAATTAATAATAGTAAAATTTAAATAGAGAGACATTAGGCCGATCGTTGATTCTTTCAAGACAAGTTTAGATCAACACTAGGACACATCAATTTAAATTCTTTAAAATTATAGATTAATATTTTCCTTTTAATTTTTATACATTTTCATTTTACACAATCAATACTACTCATACTTTAGCCTCTAGTTTGGGAAGAATTTATAATTGATTAATTTTTAAATACATCGAAATAAATGAAGAATAAGTAAATAATATTGGTGTTATCCATTAAAATGTATAGTTGAACTTCCGAACAAAAGTAACTCAGAGTGCATTTAATGTATATTAACATAAATGTAAGTTAAAGAGTATAAATACTACTATGAAATAAATAAGAAAACGAATAATGTTACTTATCTAGATTCTGTCCATGTAACAATGAGGTCGCTGTCACATTGTCTAATGAAAGTATTATCTCCCAACCTCATTACACAGAGAGGTGATTATTACAGGTGGTAATCCATGCATTAAAGTGTCCCTAAAGTGTCCAAAATAAAAAATAAAATATATATTTATTTATATTTAAAAAATGAGTGTTGTTATGCATCCCATCTCTAATCTTCTTCCTTCCTTCCTTCCCATGTGAATAATGAACCAAAAGGGTTATATATCCCACTAGGCTAATAACCATATGATACATCATTAATGGCGTGTTCAATAGATATTAAAATCGAATTAAAATTAAAACTAGCCGTTATTGTTGACTTTTATTAGACGAGTGAGACTCAATAACGGCTATATTTACAATTTTAATTGAATTTTAAGCTTAGCCAAACATGCTCTAAATAGCAAGACCAATAAAATGAATTCATAATCATATATTTACATTTTATGACCCACATATCATGTCATGTAAATGGGTGATCATTCCTAGTAGAGATAAATAAAGTAATGTCATTCATTTTAAGCTTAGCCAAACATGCTCTAAATAGCAAGACCAGTAAAATGAATTCATAATCATATATTTACATTTTATGACACACGTATCATGTCACGTAAACGGGTGATCATTCCTAGTAGAGATAAATAGAGTAATGGCATTCATCCTCACTGATTACCCACAGGGACTGACGCTACATTCAGATAACTTTAATTGATTTGCAATTTTAGATGTAAACTTTAAGATGACAAATCAATTAATATCACGTCATCAATTGATAAGTACTAATAATTATGCTCATATATATGGTATTATTCTTAACAAAATCGAACATGGTGTGTGCCATATAAGACACGTGTCTAAAGAGCATTAATGTCCACTTTTCCACACGTAGTAACACAATCACACTATCCCAATAGGGGTGTCATGCTTTATGCTTAACCATTTAGGAGAGAGAATTCACTGAGCATATAAGATATTCGATCATAAATAACTAATGTGGTATCTTTACCCAATTTGTGCACCAAACTTTGCCCCAAAGCTTACACACAGAAACCCCATCACGATATCAGCATCAGCATAAGCAAATATCAACAAGCTTAGTCACAAGAAAAATCCGTATAAAAAAAAAAAAGAACCAGTGTCACATACACCAAAGCTTCTCCCCCTCTCAATTTGTTTGTCATTGTTTTAAAGTTCTGCAGAGTTGCTCCTGCAGACAAATGAACTCCATTGATGGCCACGAACAATCACATCTTTAAAAATCGGGATATGGGACCAAGTATCCTGCCCATCTTCTGTACCGAGAATAAATACAACACAGAGTTATAATATCAAAATCAGCTAAATGCCTACGAAGTAGAGCAAATAATTGGATCCAGGAAAACAAATTTTCAATTGAATAATGCTATTCATCCTTAGATATCATTATTAGTCTAAGTAGCAGTGAACCCCTAAATTCATTGTCCAATGAAATAAAATGCATCACAACTCCATTTGTGATTTGGCAATGAATTATAGGATCCACTGCCATCTATATTGATGATAATCTCAATTAATGATGAATAGCATCACCCTTTTCAATTATCATTACATTCTAACAGAACATTTCAGGTCAAAACACCACATTAATCTGGGCCGGCCACATTCTGCTAAGCCTCTATAACAATGAGAATAGACATTGAGCTGATTACATAAAAATTGAGCTAAATGCATAGAACTGAAACCTTAGAAACAGTTACTGAATCACTGCTACCGTCCAGCATGATATTACAAGTCAATACACCATAAGATTGGGCAAACCAACTCTTATAATACAGCGCCTAGCATAAACACTGAGGTGATGAAGAGTTGTGAAGTTTGTAAATTGCTTAAAATTGAGTGGATATTAAATATTTTTAGAAAGTATATTCTGTTCATCATGCTATTACTACAAGGACCAGAAGAACGGTCTGGTACCAGTTACTCTGGAAGAAAGGGGAGTTGACAGAAAGTAATCAACAATTGCATTATTACCATCATACATGTAGATACAATTTCTATTAGCCATCAAAGTCAATATGCTTGCTACTTAAATCCAATATATTCTGTCTAAATGACGATGGCTTGCAAATTGCACTTGGTTATATGTAACCTTACACAGGCATGAGTAAAGCTCATTATGTCAAACAACGAATAAGAATAACCATATATAACCTTGTCATTCTTTCTCCTTTTTACCCTTCCTTAAGGTGTTAAATTGCAAAACCATGTATCATAACCATCTCTTCTTTGCATCAGGCATTAGATCAAACTAAAGGATTTTTACTAAAACTTTAGAATAGTTTTCCACCTTCATTTATTTTAAGTTTTCACGTTTTCTCCTGGGGACTGGGGAACTATGTGTAATGAGAGACAACAGGGCTGCGGGAAATGGATTCAAAGTGACCAACTGGTGGCCTTGGAACATTTTTCTAAAACTTCGTTCACTATATAACCTACCATCCATCTTTTCAATGTAACAATCAATCAACCATCCCTGCACCGTTAACTAAATGTACTACATTTCTTATCAAGACGTGGATTGCTACACATACTCCAAATCAAACTTTCATGGCGTTCATCTCCCACTCTAATGCTAAAAATTGAACACACTTCTAAAATTGATCCAGAGCATGTTTGGGTGCACGCTTATTTTGCTTACAAGGAGTCTTGATTCTTTTTCTCTCTCCTTACTTATACAAGTAAAATAAGAATGCAATCAAACATGCTCATCTACCTATCAAATGAGGACACACTAAAAGACTCAATATGTTTAAAAATTTAAGACTTAATACCTCATCATTGATACTGAACTGCCGCCTAAGCTGCAAAACTTGCCACCTTTCTTGCTGCCACTTGTGTCCAATAATTACAAGCCCTGCGACGGCTGTAGCAATGATAATGGACCAAAATGTGTTGGCCTCTTTTGCATGCACATACAATGAAAGAGCCTGCCTTTTCCACCAAGCTTCGCAAGGAAGGTCAGCCCCATCATACTTGTTTTCCTCAACAGGCTTCTGGAAACTTGACGAGCTTGAATTCAAAGCATGTTCAAAAGGTTCAGCCATATCATCAGTCATTGCATCCTCCTCAACAGTATAGGACCTGCCCATGTTTGATATGTTATGGAATGCACTAAATTCTGCAGAACCAGAAATGAACTGCTCTCTGTCCATATCTTTTTGTAAATCTGCACCACCAACTGATAGCCTGTTGTCCTTCTCATCAAAATCTTGAACTCCAGGAAATTCATCAGAAGTCAGTTCTTCGATGCTCATTTTTTCTTCATCTTTGACATCCAATTTACCCTTTTCTTCAGCAATCAAATAAGGAAGATCACCTTCATCTCCTTTTTCATTTCGTATCTCGTCGTGCACAGGTTCCAACGGCAAATTCTCGTGCTGACTTTGAGTAAAAAGAAAATGGCCTGACATAAACATAGCACGAGAAGTCTCAGCTTCACTTTCTCCAACTGAATTACCCTGGCTATCTTCACTCGAATCAACCTGTTTGGGACCAGGGGCAGCAGCATATGCCGATTCTGTGAGTGATACGACTTCCCATTCATTTCCTTTGGGAGCAGTTTCAGTCCTGTCCTCATTATCCGCCATCTATAGAGATCTCAAGGTTTAAAGACTTCCTCTTTGCAGCAGATAAGGTCGGGGAAAAGAACCATGGTTATAAGTCAGAACAGAATTACAAGAAGCACAAATATATGAATCTCATGAAATCATCATATTAAACAGAAAAATGTCCAGCACACAAGCAAAAAATCTCTCTTCGGCAGAATACATTCTACTTTCAAGAAAATATTGAGGATGGATAATTTTTTTCCAAAAGAAATGTCTTTTGGTTGAAAATTTAGCTGACTAAACATAATGTTATTAGACATCTATCTGAAACGTTAATAGGATCCTGACACAGAAGATACTACTACAACTACTTCCCCTTCAAAGTTATGAAACTTGAAATGCAGGGCACGAAATACCAAATAGAAATCATTCTCCGAACTTATTTCAAGAATCCCTTCAAATGAAAAGGAGACGTACATAAAGAAAATTCCTGCAGATTAACATAAAACGATTCTGAAATCCCAGAACAAAGTAAGCAATGCAACTTTCCCAGTTAAAGAAATATAGTACACGAAATTTTGTTCAGATATTACACACGAAATTTTGTTCAGATATTACAATAAGCAAAGCCAATATCAACTATGTGATTGTGCAACTCTATGGTGACTTGTGTACATGCTGGTATAATTGCACAATTAAACAAAATATTTTGAAAGGAAACAAAATATCAGACAACAAGAAAAACAAATTAAGCACTTAAGTTCTACCATGAGTAATCAGTACAACTAAATCACTAGCCAGAACAGCAAAACTTACACAAGCTCAAAAAGTGTATGAACACGAACATAGATAAAAATACCTATACATAAGATTCTATTAGATTTATGATTTATCAGCCAAAACAAACATGTATAGATCCAAAAAGTCATATCCATAACACAAATAACCTATCAAACAATCCAGGGGGAAAAAAGGAAACAAAGTTAAACAATCGGATCTTTCAACAAAAACGAATAAACTAATTGATTAATGGAAATTCAAGAGTACTTACAGAATTAAAAGATAAAAATCGGAGGCGAATCAACACAGCTCCGGCGAGAGAATGATTGAACGTGTCTCGGGAAACGTAAATATTAAGAGAAATTGACTAATTTATACAACGAGATTTTTAGGTGAGGTGATAAGGCACCGGGATAGCCGGTGATATGGTAATAATGGGATATACCGACTGCAAGGGACGGTGTCGTTTAGTAGTTACGTCGTGGGATGGCACCACCCCGTAATTACGGTTGCGTGCGTGGAGGAAGAAAGTATATAAATGTCAAAGAATTTTTTTTCTCTAAATAAAATTAAAAAAATAAAAATATAAGCTACTTCTAAAGGTTTCACTTTCCAAATATATAAATATTTTATTTTTCTCTTATGTTTTAAGAGCGACTTTGGATAATCTATAATCCATATTTACAATTCAAATTAATAAATTAAGTGAAATATATATTAATTGATTTTAATATATTTTAAATGTCACACGAAGTGAAAATAATTTTTTGAGCAGTTTATCTTTCATATACTTATGTTATTTCAATGTAACTTTTAATTTCCATTTTTCGCGACTTACTTAAATATTATCCTCGATAATTTCACGAGTATTAATTGTCATCAATGTACATTTAAAAAATTTGATTCGCTTGATTGGACAATAAATTGTGGGCCGTTTGATTTTCATTATTGTAGAATGAAAATGAAAAATATAGTCGTTATTGAACCCCACACAAGATATAGAAATTCAAAATTAATGACTTGATGTGATAGATAAAAGGGGCTGTATATAAATTGACATGCACATGACTGATCTCCTAAGTATTGATACTTAGGGTCCGTTTGATTTTAAGGGTGGAAAGAAAATGTTTTATAGGGAAAAGATTTTCCTAGAAAATATTTTCTTGGGAATTGTAATTAATTGTGTTTGATTGATATAATTTTCTACCTGAAAAATATTGAAAGTTTGGTGTTCGTTTGGCTTCGTTTTTTATAAAAATTGTCTGTGTACACATAGCACCACTCTAAATAATAGATGTGCCACGTCACATAATACTTAAGCTAAGCACAAGTGCTTAAAAGATTAATTTCGTTAACATGCATGGTTCATGTATGTAAATTTTTTCCAAATTATTTGATATTCATTTATTCGCATTCGTGCATCTCAAGTAACATTCATCCTCATCTATATATTTAAGTATTATTAATTTTAATTCTAAAGTAATTATCATTCACGTTCATGTACGCTATTTAACTTTCATCTCCATGGGCATTTCACACATTCAATTATTGACCCTCGTGCATGCATTTCACTTTTACGATCAATACTCGCCTCATATGAATTAAAGTTTGTTTTCTAAAACGTATTTATATTAATGTGTGTAGCATGCCACGTAAGTGTCATTTTTTATATTGATTCAACATCTCAAAATAATATTTGTAAAGTACTTATAAAAGATATCAAAATAATGCATGTTTCATGTATATAATCTACATTAGGGATAGAGCTAGTGAGACAAAAAAAATTTTACTTGACTGGTAAATTTTTTTTTTTAACTAAAAAATCTAAATGGACTTGGGGCAGGCCTAGCTTCGCCCCTCAGAATCTACATTTTGTGCTTATTTAACCATGAATATATTAAGAGCGCATTTTTGAGATGGTATAAACTCTTTATTTTATTTTTTTTCTTTCATTTCTTAAATTCCTATAGTTGTTTTCTAGGATACATATTAAATTTTCATGGCAACCAAATATCAATGTAGGAGTAAATAAAAGATATTTAAAAAATGTGTATGATTAATGATAAGACTAATAACAACTTTATAATCTCGATAAAACGTATCCCATTTCTTAAAGAAATGTACACATCACATGTTTATCAATCGAAGTAAAGATATTTGAAGGACTAACATATTCGAAGTAAACATATCAATCGAGCATGGTGTAACCATTGAAATCAAGAAATTATTGCTTCTCTTATACAAATTTGATAGGAGAAAAGAGGAATCAAAGATCCACTTTTACATCCAATATTTTATTCAAATCGTATCACAATTTAAATATATTATAACAGAGGTGAAACTATGCAAAGTGGCTCGATTGTTTCGATGAGTAGTTCAATTAAAAGAAAATTACCTTAAACCTTGTATCTTAACTTTCAGTTCCGGTTTGGTTTCTATCATTTTCAAAATATATTTTTTTCAAAATTAATTTTCAACCACACATTCTTCCATAAAATAATATTACACGTAAATTCAAAATTTTTACTAATCTTTTAAACATGCATTCTTTTTTTAAAAAAATCTTTATCTGAAAATACATTTTCTCCCAAAATCACATTAAAATGGAGACCAAATAGGGCTCGATTTCAAAAATCATGTACTAATTACTTTTTTCAAAAATTAGATTATAATTACTTTTTCAATTAAAAACATATTATACACCCCACTACAACTACCCACCCACACTTTTCTAAACACTAGT